GACATTCGCCTTGGGACAACGTTGCATCCGTCAACGTCGTGGCAGTCCCATGGGCAGTCCTCTCTCTCCTGCCCTATGTCTCATGGTCGTTTCCATCAGTGAACAAATTTGGTACCACACCTTCCACCAACTTCTCTCCAATCATCACCTGTTCATTCAACATGTTCGCTACGTTGACAATCGCCTCATTTTCGGTGACAAACGCCTGACCTCACTGGATCCATATGAAGTTCTATTGGATGAAGGCTTCTATGGAAAACCGATCATCCTTGAAACCGAACCTGACCAAGAATTCCTTGGCTTTATGATCGAAACACAGCCGCTGGAACTGATTTACCAGGGACCAACACAGGTGTCACAAGTCCTCTCACCATTCTCTGCTTCACCTCCTTCGGTCCTCCTCAGCGGTTTCCGGTCGAGATGCCATATTGTCATCAAGGGAGCTTTTCCATCCCTACGTGTCCAACAAGGCCTGTCACAATTAATTAGATTATATGCACGAGCTGGCTTTCCCAATGAGGAACTTCAGGCCATCTCCAACCAACTTTTGATTCAGCATCAGAACTCGGGTATTGCTGTTCAAAAATTGCTTTTGCTGCGTTTGGTTGGGTGGCACTTCTCCTTTGGGTCCCGTTGTTGTTCCTTTCTTTTGTTTCTGGTTTCTCCCTGTTCCGTGTCCGTTGGTGTTCTGTGGTCTTTTGCTTCTCTTCTTCAGCTTCCTGGCTCAAACCCGCTTTCCTCTTGCTCCATCTTTGTTTGAACGCTCATGGATCATGCTCAAGGGCGAGCGTTCCATCATCATTTGGCTAGAGCTATTATGCATCTCAGCTATTTGGCAGGGCTCTTGCCTTTCTTCGAGCCCTCCATTGAATATGATGAAGCGCCACCTCCGGCCAATCTCCGTCTTGATCATCCAACAACCAGAGGCCTGCACACTTTTGTGCCTCGACCGACACCCGAAGGTCCTCCAACCTTGGTATCACATGGTGGCATCCCTTCCCACATGGTATTGAATCCAGAACCATTTTTGCGACCGGCATCAACCAGCTCTCCACCACTTCATACATCGACTCTCTCCACATGCACATCTCGACCTGCCGGTCTCATTACGGACCCTGGTCCGGATCCAATTCCTGGACCCGCAACAACGATCACCTTCCCTACGGCACCAACACGCACTACAACACCTGTCCCAGTGAGATCAAAACAACGGTCATCATCTCTGGTGGACCCACAACCAAAAAAGAAACAGAAAGGGGAGTCCATTCCTGAGCCTAGACTCGCCCACAACCTTGATGCGACCAATTCGACCTCATTACCCATTATCTCAGACGCCCATTCAGGCGATATGAATTCTGATGACTCCGATGGTGAGGCTGTGTCAAGAGAGGACACCAACTACGTGCATGGTGGCAAAGCAAGACCTCGAACACCTCCTCTTACCTTGACTCCCAATTCAAAAGCTTCGCAGTCTCCACCGTTGCATATCTTTCATGCCATTCCTACCAATTCACCTCCTGATCCGGCTCGGCCTTGGACCCACGCTGACGACCAAGAATTGATCGGTATGAAACAGGACACAAAATCCAGACCTTCGTGGAAAACGATCGGAGGGAGACTCCATCGCGATCCCCAGCTTTGTAAGCTTCGCTGGGGACTTTTGAAACAGTCATCAGAAGTGAACGACCCACCGGGTCCAGGTAACCCACCTCATGAACTCGAAGGTGATGACTGACTCTAGCAGCAATCCCTGCGATGTCGAAAATGCGTCAGTGCTGCCCCATTTGGTGTTGTTGATTTCTTTTTGCTTTTTCTTGCCTTTTCTTTGGGTCTTACCATTGTTGCCTTTTCCACAATGTATTTTCTTACGCTGTGTGTCTGTTCATCCACAGCAAGTATGGCTCATTCATATTCTCGTCGACGAACAGCTCCTGAACGCTCCCGGTCACGGGACGACAACATGTGGCAGAACCGTCGCACTCAGCAACCTGATTGGCAACAGAATCCTCGACCTGAAGAACCTCCTCCTGCTCCTCAAGTCAGAAAGGTCTTGGTCATTGTTGACATTGAACAAGTCCGTCCGCTTATGAACAAAACCCATGATGTCTCAATGGCCGCTACAACATGTGAGGTTCTCCCTCGCCTCACTCCGGTCGAAGAACGGGCATTGTTCACCTTCAACATTCTGCTCAATACACACCGCTTGGAAACCTTCACGGTGTACAACTTGTTATACTGCATCAGCCAGCACATTTGGTATACTTGGGATCGATTCTTATCTCCTTCGTCTATGGACATCAGATGGCAAGATGATACTGGAGATACATTTGTTCTCCGCAACGAAGAATACCTCGTCACCTATCTGAACGCCTATCGCTCTCACTGGACTGAAGGACAAGAACATAGTGAGTTCTTTTCAAATAATATTCATTTCTTTACGTCTCACATTCAGCTTTACATCATGCGCGTGAGTTGCCATGAGGCTCTTCCAAACCGCAACATGCTTCCTTAAGGTTCAAAAAGTCTCCTGCATTTAGGGCAGTGGGAATTTCACGGTTGTGGCTTTGGCTTGTTGTTAATTGTACCTGTTAAAGTCTTTAGCTCTGGGCTCCAGCAGTACCATGACCAAACGTGATTCCTCATTTGCCGGTATCACGCATCCTTCATCGTCCATGAGCCATCCACGTCGTATTTCATGGAGATCTCGTAGTCATGGCCAACACAGTAGCACTGCTGCTCCTTCGGATTCGTTGCATCCTTCCCGTGACGACAATGCTTCCCAAGCTGGACATTCTCTCTCACCTCCTGGAGCAGGTGAGTACACAACTCATTATGGGTACTCTTCGACAAATCTTGCCACACCCATACCATCTCCTGCCGATCATCAAGCTCCAATTCTCCCTACTTCTGCTGGGGAATCATATCCACTCCAGCAAGAGATTGAAGAAGTCCGACGTCAACTTCATGCATATTATTTTGTCGAAGTCCAATCACCTTCAGATGACGACACCCAACCGGCGCATCGCCGACTTATGGTGACGGAAGTGGATCGACGTGGCCACCATCACAATAGGCAGCCGGAATATTTTTTCAACGGCATCATCGGCCATGTTCGTGCCGGCCAGAATGGCTGGATTGACTCATGGAATCAATCCTCTCAGCTCGCCAACTATTGGCGTCGCTATTTTCAGATTCCGGAGATCTCACCGTATGGCTATTGGCGTCCACATCAAGACGAAGTTCCAGAAAGTCCTGAATCGTTACAAGCTTCAGGCATGGATGACACCGATTCTCTCATTGCCAATGCTGACATCAATCCCCCTCCTGTCCAGATTCATCAACTGGCAACGTTCCTCTGGAACATTCTCAACAATGACAGGGAGGCCACCATGGCCATACTGGAACGTCTGGAGGATCCTGAAGGAGACCTTTCCCGACACCCAGTTCAGATCTTCTCGGCGGCAGACTTGGCTCATCTTGCTAGCCACTTGGCAGAATCTACAAGAACTTTGACAAACCAGGCACGACGCATGGAGACATTACCTGATGAAGGCCTGTGAGCTCTAGGATTAATTCATTTGATGATTCTTCCCTGTATTTTGAAGCCAATTCCGCTTCAGGGAACGGATAATAGCATTCATTGCGGGTGAACTGAAAAAAGCCTCGCGGCAGCGAGGCGTGTGTGTGGAACATCTGCAAGGATGTAAAACTTCCTGTTTTTGATGAGTGATGATTTTCATTGCCGTAGTGTTTGAATCATACCTCGATGTCATTTGCAGGGGGTGGTAGCAGGGTCCAGAGTCTACCACCAACGAAGACACTCTGGTTTCCCTGGTGATACATGGCCTGATCAGCCATGCGTACCTGCCAATTTTCAGAAATGGGAAGAGGCTCAACCCAAGAACCTCCACGCCGTCTAAGTGTCAATTTCGATGTTCTGCACTGTTGTCGCAATCTGGCATTATTTTTATTTTGGACTTCGCTACATCAGAACCTTCCTCGGAAAGTTTACTTCGCACTGAAATTCACGCTGGATCAACTAATTTTTTCCTGGCAGTTTGTAAGGTATTGTTTTGTGCACGTTTGATGCACTCCACAACAAAATTCGCAATGTTGTTTCTGAGCAAGTGTGTGTGTGTGATCTGATGGTATCTGATGTGATATTTGCATATATTTGCATCTGTTGCGTTTTTGCAGTTTTTGCAAACATTGCCGCCTGTGCCAAGCTGTGAGCCGTCAGCCCGGGAAAAATTGCTCCAGTCCCCCGGACTGCAAGGATCCTGGGAGATCATAGTTTATGGCCTTGGTGATGTTGGTGATGTGGAACATAAACAGCTTCAACTTTCATGAACCGCAGCATATAGGAGCATCTAGGACTTTCAATGATGGTTAAAAAAGTATCCTCAAAGCATCTCAAAGCATAGACTGAGTGCTTTGCATGTGTGAGCCGCGGTCCACCTGAAGAGAAGTGGGTATGGTGATTTTTGTCAGCGAATGGGGCTCACGAAACAAACTGGAAATTATATGGGAATCTTTCTCAACCTGTCTTCATACATCAGGATGTCAGATGTTTCATCCTTTTTGTAGTTAGAAACCTGTCCAATATCCAAATTGGTTTCCGGCTTGCCCTCTGAAAAAAAAAGTCTGGAGATGTCTGGCCTTCGAAGTTCATGTTGGTGCCAAGGTTTGCACAAAACATGCAGGCGGATGCTCCCACCATGGAGATCACGAAGGGGCCCCCAGCAGTTACCCAAACCACATCAAACCACCTGAGTTTCGGTGCTGCGAGAATTTCAAAAAATATAACTAGAAGAGCAAACAATATACCATGATACGCAACAATACTGCAACCATCTATATATTTTATAATTATATTTCCTACAAAAAACTTCAGCTGGACATCCCACTAGGATCAGCGTTTAGATTGTTCGGGGGACCAGCTCTGAACTGTCCGGGCAAGGAACTGATGCCACAACCACTACCGACTACCACCACGAAAATCACGGGCATGCTCCGAAGCACCCATTTGCATCACCATTTCTGCACCTTGGAGCAGGCGTCAAGCGAGCTAAATCTGTGTGCTATGGATGAAGGGAAAATTTGGAAAGCCAACTCATCCTGTGATTGAACCCTTGTTCAATGGCTTCCAACTGCAACTTTCTCCAAGCAGCCAATATCTTGGACCAGCAGTTCGCAGCAGAAGTCTGCGACAGTGAACAGGCCAAAACTACCACAAAGCAGCGAGTGGAAAAGCATAACTTGGGGCATTGCATATCGAAATCTCAAGCAGATTATGGTGTCTGACCAGAAAGTTCAGAACATTTGAAACTTCTTGATGCGCTGAAATACTTCTCCAAGATACTGCCCCCGCCGGGCTGCCGCGTCGATGTATGAAATCTCTTCCTGAAACACAAGCATCATCCAAATTGCCGATTCCAAGTGTCATCTAAAGTGTCATCCAATAGCATGGAAAAAGGATAGACTTACTATGACTTACTTGTCTACGTGCATGCAGGAGGCTGACACCATTCGGAAGGTATTCTTTCGCAAAGCCAGCAGAAGCAACACCAGGGATATGAAGCTACCAATAACAAAAATACACCTCAGCACCGTGTTTATCCGTTTCAACACTAAAACATACTCCAACATACTCCAACCACCAACCATTCCATATCCATTCCATCAATCACTGCCACGTCAGCTCGCCCCCCTCTCAGCTCACCACATCATGAGGGCGCTCAGCCAACCAAAATAATTAGCCCTGATGGATAGCTTGCAGCTGGCACCGTCGTAAGTTCCTCTGCCATCCCTCTGCCTTGGCTGCAGGCCCATATGATACAGCCGGCCTCCCAAATAACTCTGAAACACAAGGCAAAGCACGACAAATTGTGCTATCTTTGATATGAATCCAGGTTGCAACTTATCTCCGATGCACCAATCTTCGCAAAATGACTATAATAAATATACTACAGTAATTAATGTTCGGGGCTGCAGTGTTGCCACAGCTACTTCCGTCCATTTCCATCATTTTCCATCATCGACTGGTCAAGTGCTTTGGCCTGCCGCTTGCAATTTTACTTGCAGAAGGAGAGCATTCCATTGGCTGGATTTTCTTGTGCTGTCATTCGTTGACTGCTCATGTTTTTTTTCGATGACTGCTCACCGACTTCCCGAATTCCGCAGCGGCACCCTGGCACCCTGAACCACTCGGCTGCCAGGAGGGGAACTTAGCAACCACCACCCCAAGTGGCACCTGCATCATCATCGTCTTCACCAGACTCCTTGCTACACGGTAGATAGACGTTGTGAGATGATATCTTACACAAAGCCGGCTGTCCCGCCCGGGGGTTCTCTGCAACCAGGTTCTTTTCACTGATCCTGCCGGTTTCAAGCGGCAAAAGCAACTGTTCAAGTGCGAGTACAGTACTACTCAAGGCCCCCCCATTCCTACAGTATTGCTTCATGAACTGTGCCTCTTTCCAATCACCTCAGCCACTGTGCTCCGGCTGCTGGATCTTAAATTGTTGCTCTTCATTCCAGCCTGAAGACAGAACACAACCATGTGCAGCTTCACCGCAGCCTATGCCCTGCCCGCATGCGGAAAGCTTTGCGTGTTCTGCCTCATCATCGCCGAAGCAGCCCAGTGACTAAACCTCCATGGCTCCTGGACACGCAAATAGGCGCTATTCTATCGCAAATGCATTCAAAAGAATGCAATTGACTGCAGGACCAATGGTTGACACAAACGCAGAGTGCCAGCCTTTCTTACGCCACAAGCATGTTGGATCTGGGCTTGCGGCTGGCCGTAGCAACTTGAACCAAAATGGAAAGGAAAAGCTTGACGTTCCACATCACGAGCGCAGTGAGGCTGCAGCTTGCATTGGTAGCTACCAACGGGCAGTGGAAAACATATGCATTGGGATCAGGGAGAACATACTGAGGCAATGGAAAGTAAATGCACCCTACCGGCCCTACCATCTGACCATGGAATGATACAACAGCTTGAAGCCTTGCCATGTTTGGGTCATCCGCAAATTTGTGGCCAACTGTAGTCCCACAAGTTGCCGTGCAGGCGGTGGGCTTCTTACTCTCTCTGCGGTGAGTTTATGCTTGATGAGTCATGACAGGAGTCCACAAGGTCCTTGGGTAGTGCTCTCACACACAGCACAATTAGAAACACAAGTGAAACACATAATGCGCTGCAATCTTTTGTGAATCATCTTCTATCATCAAATGCAAAGCTCAACGGTGTCGCGGCTGCCCACTGAATCTCAGTTGCACCTATAGAGACACCTTCCACAGGTGCCAAAACTTGCCCCCAGCGACATGAGATCCTCGAATTTTCGGAGGACAAACTTTGCGAGCAAACAGCGAATTGAGACCCTTGACCTGGAGAGACTGAAACTAAACGAGCTGGAGAATCCTCCAGCAGTGCTCCATAGCTGATAACAGCCGTATCATTGGCCACCGAACCCATGCGACAGGAGACTTGCATGGTGGGGGTCGTCTCAAAACAGACTATAAAGCGATCATCTCCCATCCGAGCCAGCTCCAAGTGATTGCCCACTGAAGCCTGCTCAAGGAAAGGAAATGATTGACCCCACGGAAGCGGTGGAAGGAGCTTGGAAGTTGACTCGGAGCCATCTTCGACGGCCTCAGGTCTATCAGATTTCCACTCTTTCAGCCAGGCTGCTCGACACCCACCCCCTGAAGCAGCGTCAGCCCGCGCAAACAAAGGTGAGAAGCACATGACGATGAGCGAGCTCTTCAAACCTAAGCATGCTGGGAAGCGCTACGGGCTATGGGCTTATCACACATCATCAGCTTGGACACGTGCGTTGTAAGCTGAGACGAGTGTTCACATGGTGAAGGTATTGACGGAGCTGAGCTCAAGGCCTACGAGCTTGTGGTGCTTCAGCCGCATCAGGTCTCCTTCGTAGTATGCCCAGGCATCGTGATGGATAGACTGCTTCTGATGTTCCAGAACTTCAGCAAAGTGTTGCGCTTCCATCTTCACCTCGTCTTCCATGGCAAGTCGCATCTGTTTCTCTGCTTCGCTTTCCGTCCTCTGGCCAATTGAAAGCCAGGCTTGACGATCATTAAAGCCATAGCTCTCAGAATCAGCTTTCATAGACATTTCACTGTGCTTGGCAGACCTGAATGGCAAAGGAAAGGCCGGAGCCTGAATTGGAGCAGGGGCTGGCGGTCTTGGGGGCAACGGTGGGGGCAAAGGTGGTGGCAAGGGTGGAGGAGCCGCAGGCAGGTCAGGTGCAGTGATTTCAGCCTCATCCAAATGCAAGGTCTGTATGTCTTGCGGCCCGCTCTGCAATTGGCATTCTGCTGAGCTTAGACTACAAGATCCACCGCTGACCTCAGAATTCTCTAGGTGCAGCACATGCTCTGAAGGTTCCGTAGCCACAGTGGGGGGCACATCAGCGACATCCTCCAGTGGATCAGCTGAGCTGATTTCTTCAGCACTTGCTATGCGTTCTGCACCTTGAGCTGCACCAGCCACCAAGAGCACCAGCCAAGCCTTCCATGGCAAAATGTGCATGAGGTGCTGGCAGTAGCAGCTTTCAGCCAGAACTGCGGCACAAAAGCAACATCGGAACCCGGCACAAAAGCAGGCCAATGAGTTGATTGTGGTGTTTTTTCCCTCACTATATTGTAATAAAATGTAATAAAGATTAATACAGTAAGACGTATCCGACGGAAAGAACATCGCTTCTTGAGTATCTGAAGTTATTTTTAATGTTTAAGGTAGTGTTTTTCTAGCTTCCCAATATCGCATCACAGTCTACCTTCCGGTAATCTGATGTAGCTATGGAAATTGCCCGTTTATAAAGCATTTCCCATTAACAATCGTGATTTTCCATAGCAAACTGTTGTACCAAAGCGGACCCCACCTATTTTCGATCTGAATCCGATATCTGGGGCCGCATCTCGGCTTCAGCAGCATCACAAACAAATCCTTTAAGGATGTGAAAACAGCGAAAGTTTCATCGCATGCACATGGTTATTTCCGCGCATGCTCGGATCAAACAGCTGCTGGTTGAATCTGGATGATCTACAGATGTTTTTTCTCACACAGACACCACCATTCTTCCCGAGGTACCGTATTACTTTGAGGACACTTTCTCGAACTCCAAGCTATTCGTGGGATCCATCTGGGGTAATTATGAAGACAGGACTCAGCCACTACCTGCCAGCTTATCACAGAATATAACAGATTACTCTACGGCGGCCTTGTAGATACGCAGGTAGCTTCAGAACCCCCTCCCTTGACAGATTATCGCCCATTGGGCTTGTGCTTGCAAGACCTACTAGGTCGTCATATCCTTCACAATGCGCTTTCAAACTTTCACATTCGCTCATTTGTCCCGCAACTTTTGCAAACATCTCCCAGTACAGAATTATGATGAATTGTGTGATGTGATGCGACGCGATGTGATGCCACGTGATGTGATGTGATGTGATGTGATGCGATGTGATGTGATGTGATGTTGATGTGATGTGATGTATACATTAACTTATTAGGGTAATTATAAATGGATGATATAGATACATTCACGTATAGATGCATATACGTGTTTTGATGTTTTATGACATCCAACTTGTGCAAATCTCTGTGCGAATACCTTCAAATATGTACACGCACACACACACATATATATATATTATATCCCCATCACCCTCTCGGTATTCAACTATAAAACGTATTAAAACGTATGATTTTCGCGAGCTCGAGAAAACTTTCGCCGTGGATAGGTAGGCACTTTGACTGTTCATGGCAATCATAACTCTTTAAGATCAATACCCCACAAACTAAGGGCATCTTGAAATCATCTAAGTGGAGGATAACAAGTAAGGGGTGCTTGATCCAACACGTGTGCCTTTCAATATCTTTCAAAAGAATCCTGCAAGTTTGAGCTCAAGTTTGATCCGAGGAATGTTGCCTATTCAACGAAACTGGTGCCGACAAAAAAATCGAAACGACGGCAGACTTTAGAGTTTGCCATGCGGATCCGAAGATTCTGGTTTTTCCCAGTCACGGCAGTCCGGAATAGTCTGGACAGCTCATGTGAATCAGAGCTGATGTCACACAACTTTATCCGGCAATTGTTGAGATCCACAAGTCGCTGTCAACAAGTTACAGAGTAGGCCTATGGCCTCCCACAATGACATGAGCGTCCGGTGATGTCCAGTATGATGCCTCAGTCTATGCTAATAATCTGTCTCGTCTTTGGAATCTGCGTGCGGAGCTTCGATTCAGCTGGTGGTTCAGCTGGCGCAGCACCTGAACATCCCAGGCACTGCAGTATCAAAAGCAGAGTGGCAGACTTGCGAAAGGTCAGGGCCGACAACAAAGTTACATTCTCAGAAGTTGATCAGAAGAGAACATAGAACAACTATGCATGAACGCACAAATCAACACTGGACAAACCAGGAAGTCTTATCAGTCCTAATCTTCTTTGCAGCGCAATCCCTTCCAAAGCTGAAGCATTTGCAGGTTATATATTTTTGCTGTCGCCTGCTCCCGAAAATCTGCCTACCGCATCTCTACAGGACTCAGTACGAAGGATTGGGCACAGCCGACGCGACAAAGAAAAAAGAACAAGCAATGCATCCGGCATCCAACACCTGTGAAATTCCCACTTTGCCAACCCAAGATCTACCTCTCTGACCAGATCTTGGCAGGTCCATAGTAGTATGACGTGGTATGCTTAGACGGCATTTGAGCCGTGGTCAAAAGGTACACACACACACACACATTTTTGCTTACGCGCGGCGAGGTCCGAATTTCCTCTCCTTTACAAATGAATAGCGGAGTTTTGAACGTGGCTCATTTGTCAACATGAAGTAATATGAAGTAGAATTCGGAGGACTTAGAGAAGTTCACGCCGACTAGGACTGAAAGGGTGAACATGCAGGCAGCACATCACAGGGACCGGAAGGCGCCGATCACCAAACAGAACCGACTTGATCTGAGTTTAAAGCAGCGCAACTAGAAACACTACGTGTATCGAGCTGTATTGGCTGCTAATTTACCGCTATGGACGATGACTGCATCTCACAGTGTTGGTGACCCAATTCGCCTGCTCGACCTGCTGATGTGCGGCCCCTCTTCTTGCGGCGCTCTATTTGCTGTCGATGGTGCACATGGCGTTCTGTAGATGAGATGGCCTAAGCCAAGCACGCGGGTTTCACACTAAAAACACACGAAAACAGGTGCAGGGAAAACTTGACGAGTTCGAAGGATCAATCGCGATTCATTTTTCAGAGTTCCATCTCCAGGTAGAAAACAACAAATGACATTAAAGCCTGAGGCATCCTGAGGCCAGGTCCGCTTCAAGACGTGCTTCCATCTTCGCTATCTTCGTTGCAGCAGTTTGATGATCATTCATCAACTGCTGCAAGTTGTAGCGGACGAAGCGCGTAGTCGTCTTGGAGTCGAAAGCCTTGTCACTGCCAGCTTGGGGCGCTAAGCACAACTGATCAATAGGCAAACCATGGCACGCCTATTCATTTTTATGCGTATATATATATAGAGTTATATTGTATATGATATCTATCCATATTATGCGCGTGTGTGTGTGTGTGCGCGTGCGCGCGTATATGTATGTCTGTCTGTCTGTATGTCTGTGTGTTTGCATGCATGTCTCCTGTATGTCTGTGTGTATGCATGCATGTACTGTATGTACTATATGTACTGTATGTACTGTATGTACTGTATGTATGTCTGTATGTCTGTGTGTGTGCACGTATGCATGCATGCGTGCATGTACTGTATGTCTGTATGTCTGTATGTCTCCATGCTTGCAAGTTATAATGTACATCATTACAGGATTTACGATCGATGATAGGATTGCATCATCATCCACAAAAGCAGTGCCGTTGCTGCATCCAAGGGTCCCATCTTGACAAGGTTTTCTTGAACTCGTCGGGATCAATGGTTCCACCACCGTCATGGTCCAGCATCAGAAAGAGCTGCTGCAAGTCGTTCTGGTCTATGTCCATGACCCGCAACCGGTTTTGAAACTCTCGCACTTTCATCGCACCTTCCAGGAGTTCATCGAAAGTCAATGTCCCATCATTGTTCGCATCAATCTGAAGGAACATCCGGTCCAGGTCTCGTAAATCTTCTTCAGCATCTTCATCCATTTCCATGGCCATGGTGGTCACGTCTCGCATTCTCTGTTCTGCGAATGTGTCCACCACCGCCTCAGCAGCATACACTACATGATGACACACCATAGCACATGAAATGCATGATCAAGCCAACAGAGTGCTTATGTATGCTCATGTGTTTCATGGTTGGTACGATGCATACCGTGGTCTGCTACAAAGTAATTACTCCCAGGCAGTAATATTTTTTTGACCGTCACTCACTCAGCTAAGGCATTGACTGCAACTACCAAGTTGAGCACGCCAAAGACAATGGTAAGGTGAGAGCCGACAAATATTCCAGTGGCAAGCCATGGGTGATGTTCGATCAATGGCACTGCAACATCGCCCCAACTGTCACCAGCAACCACGGTCTTGAAGATTAGAAGATTGGCATTCAGCACTGACTGCAAAGAATTCTCGCAGAACTTGCAGTCCTCCAGACAAAAGAACCCCTAACCTACACCAACTACACTGGAAATTAAATAATGCAATGGAGGAATTTAAAATGATAATAAGGGGATGGAAGAAGCCAGTGTATCAATACTGTACCAAAGTGCCCATGTGCTAAAGCATCGGGATACACACATAGATAGATGGATGGATGGAGAAATGGATGGATGGATAGATAGAAAGATGGAAGGATGGATAGATCGGATAGATAGACAAATAGATAAATAGATGGATAGATAGTAGAAAGAGGGATGGATGAAAAGATAGATAGATAGACAGATAGACAGATAGATAGATAGAAAGATAGATAGACAGATAGATAGACAGATCGATCGATAGATAGATAGATAGATCGATTAGATAGATAGATAGATAGATAGAATGAATAGATAGATAGATAGATCGATCGATAGATAGATCGATCGATCGATCGATAGATAGATAGATAGTGATAGGGATAGGTAGATAGATAGGGATAGGGATAGGGATAGGGACAGGGATAGGGATAGGGATAGGAATGGGAATAGGAATACGAATAGATACGAATAGATAGGAATAGATAGGAATAGATAGGAATAGATAGGAATAGATAGGAATAGATAGATATAGATAGATATAGATAGATATAGATAGATATAGATAGATATAGATAGATATAGATAGATATAGATAGATATAGATAGATATAGATAGATATAGATAGATATAGATAGATATAGATAGATATAGATAGATAGATAGATAGGTTATCGATAGATAGATGGATGGATGGATAGATAGATAGATAGTTAGGTAGATAGATAGATGAGGTAGACAGATTAGATAGATGGATTAGATAGATAGATTGACTGATCGATAGATAGATAGATTAGATAGATAGATAGATAGATAGATAGATCGGGTAGACAGATTAGAAAGATAGATTAGGTAAATAGATAGATAGATAGATTGATTGATTGATAGATAGATAGATAGGTAGATAGATAGATAGGTAGATAGATAGATAGGTAAGATAGCTAATCGAAAGAAGTTTAGAAGTCAGACTTCTGACAATATGGACAGATGAAAAGCAGAGATAGGAAGAGTCAGAGAAGAGAAGAGAAGAGAAGAGAAGAAAGAAGATCAAAAAAGAAAAAGTCTCAGAATAAAGAAGATCCAGGTGCGCGAAAAGGTAGGAAAGTCGCGAAATATACACATATATAGATATATACATATATACATACATGTATACATATATGCATATATACAAATATATACATATATATATATATATTTGTATATATACATATATATATATACACTTATATACGCATATATATATATAAATACATTTACATATATACATATGTACATATATGCAATATATATATATATATATACATAATATAAATGTACATACATATGAATATACATATACAGTATACATGTGTATATATATATGTACATGTGTGTATGCGTGAGTGCATACGCATACATGCATGCATGCATCCATCCATCCATCCACCCATATATATATATTTACATACATACATTACAGATACGCATATAAACCATACATATTCACATTACATATTGTTGTTTACAGGCACACTACTCAGAGCCTGAGAAGTTTTGCTCTCCCGCTGTCCTTCCAAATTCCTGTCTCAATCATGTCTGACATATACGGGCTCAGCAACTCCACAGCTAGCATCGCCCAAGAGGTCATGATAACGAAGCAAAATAGGAAAGACCAGCAGAGGGTCCTTTGCTGCGGCTTCCTCCCGTTAGGCCGTTAGGTTTACAGCATCTCGGGTCCACAAATATCACAAATTCTGGCAGGTTCTGTCACAAGGCAGTAAAGAGTAAAAGCACCGGCAGAATGAAAACCGCACGAACTATTCAAAAATGTTCAGAGCCAAGATCAAGGGTGGATCATATTCTCAAACCATGGAAAGCTGGTACAATATGGTCACATCAAGTATTACAACAAAAACAGCATTAATTTGGAACAGCTGCTTAAAACATAGCCCCGTCATCTTCAAGAGCTTCCTGAGCTCCTGCGGCTGCGAATCGGCTCCAAATGCTTCCAAATGTCACATCAGTGATTCCGTTGATTGTATGCGAGCAAATCTTTATGCATACGGTAAGTATACAAATTATGCAAGCATACTATGGCATACAATATATATATATATATGTATAATATATATATATATGTGTATAATATATATATATGTATAATATATATATATGTATAATATATATATATGTGGTACCCCCCCTTCTGAAACCTACCTTTTTGACATATTCATAAGATGGTTGGGTCAAAAGGAGGTTACCTTACATACATGCTAAGGACATTTTATGTATATATATATATATTAATAGTGTAATAAGTATGCTATTGAGACAGACTGAACTTAACTTCAATGATAGCATTCTGGGAAGAATGCATTCAGAATGCATTCTCTGCATTCTGGGAAGAATGCATTCAGAATGCATTCTCTGCTAAAACCAAGAACCAAGAACCAAGATTCCCCCAAGACTCCTGAGCAAATCTTGGTTCTTGGTTCTTGGTTCTTGGTTTTGGTTAACCAAGATTTGCTCAGGAGTCTTGGGGGAATCTTGGTTCTTGGTTCTTGGTTTAAAATCTAAGATTCCCAAAAGACTAGATAAAGAATGCATTCTGAACGCATTCCTGCAACCAAGAACCAAGAACCAAGATTCCCCAAAGACTCCTGAGCAAATCTTGGTTCTTGGTTCTTGGCTTTAAATCTAATATTCCCCAAAGACTCCTGAGCAAGTCTTGGTTCTTGGTTCTTGGTTTTAAATCTACGATTCCGCAAAGACTCCTGAGCAAATCTTAGATCTTAGATCTTAGATTAGGGAAAGAATGCATTCTGAATGCATTCCTGTGGAAATGCATCCATCTTGGGTTTCCTTTAAGCAGATGGGATTGATTCAACTACCATGGAAAAGTTTCAACTTTGGGTCTTTTCCCCAAGCCTGAAAAATAAAATGAACACATTGTGTCAAAGCAATGTTGCATTTTCTTGAAGGAATGTCCCACCATGTTTAAGGAATGTATCACTCTTGTCAATGGAAAATTGCAAAAACGCAATGCTACACTACAACTCTTTTGGAACTATTATTGTTTCCAGTGAATACTGCATAGACTAAGAGAGCTTTCTTATTGAAGTTATGCTGTGCCCTTTCAAGTCACTTTTCTTCAGAAGGGGCACTGTCAATCTCACAAAGGTATACAAAGGTAGCATTTGTGATGTTTTTGTTTAAGCAAAGACGGCTCACATTTGTTCATTTCAAGTATACACAATTACTGTCAAAACATTAGGGCATACTGACTCTAGAAAGCACAATGTAGCAGTACTTGTGCCACACGTGCAGCATGTTCTTTTAAATATCCAACTTGTTTTTCAACAAATATAGTGTCACTTAGAGAAAAACATGTATGTTCTTCAAAGTAATGGCTGCATTTCTGAAGATATTCTTATTTGATTTGAAGAGATACTGCATTTGATTGGAAGATGCCTTATATGTTGCAGGGACTGTTTGGGCAACGTGTTTCTTCCTTCCAGAAGTAATTATTGTACTTAGTACGTTATGAAGTACGTTATGAAAGTTATGAAATGGGTCTGTGAATTAAGAATGCATATTTACATGTTGGAAAATAACACTGATTGATCGAAATGAAGAGATATATTTTCAAGAGAAGTGGCTTTCTGCAAAAGAATGCTACCGATTGAAAAGGAATACTATTTTTGCTTGAGGAATGCTACACCCTTTGAATGAAAGTGTCTGTTTGTAAAGCCTGCTCTTGTCAGTTAGAATTGGTTCTTCAAGAGAAGGATGCATGTTTGATCGTCTCTTGTAGTCATTTAATTACAGTGTTTTCACTGCCTTTTTCAGGTTTGGGAATAGACCCAAAGTTGAATGATCTTTTTCATGTGGGTTGAATCACTACTTAAGGGAAACTTTGCAGAGAGGTTGAGGTACTTTGAGGTACGTAAATTATACGACATAGTTTGGAAGGGGTACGAACTAAGCCTGAAAAATAAAATGAACACATTGTGTCAAAGCAATGTTGCATTTTCTTGAAGGAATGTCCCACCATGTTTAAGGAGTGTATCACTCTTGTCAATGGAAAATTGCAAAAACGCAATGCTACACTACAACTCTTTTGGAACTATTATTGTTTCCAGTGAATACTGCATAGACTAAGAGAGCTTTCTTATTGAAGTTATGCTGTGCCCTTTCAAGTCACTTTTCTTCAGAAGGGGCACTGTCAATCTCACAAAGGTATACAAAGGTAGCATTTGTGATGTTTTTGTTTAAGCAAAGACGGCTCACATTTGTTCATTTCAAGTATACACAATTACTGTCAAAACATTAGGGCATACTGACTCTAGAAAGCACAATGTAGCAGTACTTGTGCCACATGTGCAGCATGTTCTTTTAAATATCCAACTTGTTTTTCAACAAATATAGTGTCACTTAGAGAAAAACATGTATGTTCAAAGTAATGGCTGCATTTCTGAAGATATTCTTATTTGATTTGAAGAGATACTGCATTTGATTGGAAGATGCCTTGTATGTTGCAGGGACTGTTTGGGCAACGTGTTTCTTCCTTCCAGAAGTAATTATTGTACTTAGTACGTTATGAAGTACGTTATGAAAGTTATGAAATGGGTCTGTGAATTAAGAATGCATATTTACATGTTGGAAAATAACACTGATTGATCGAAATGAAGAGATATATTTTCAAGAGAAGTGGCTTTCTGCAAAAGAATGCTACCGATTGAAAAGGAATACTATTTTTGCTTGAGGAATGCTACACCCTTTGAATGAAAGTGTCTGTTTGTAAAGCCTGCTCTTGTCAGTTAGAATTGGTTCTTCAAGAGAAGGATGCATGTTTGATCGTCTCTTGTAGTCATTTAATTACAGTGTTTTCACTGCCTTTTTCAGGTTTGGGAATAGACCCAAAGTTGAATGATCTTTTTCATGTGGGTTGAATCACTACTTACGGAAAACTTTGCAGAGAGGTTGAGGTACTTTGAGGTACGTAAATTATACTTGAGACATAGTTTGGAAGGGGTACGAACTAAGAGGTCCTAGGACCTCCCAAGACGCACACATCATCCAAAGTATTGAGCCACTGCAGCAGTACAACAAGAGAGAAGCTACATAGTAAGGAAAAAAAGGCCTAAGAAATATCTACCATATTGATCATTGATCATCAAATAATATGCCTGCTAGATCTGAAAGCATACAAAATCCAAAATTTCATGTGTCAGAAAAAGGAATAAAACCACTGTAAAAACCAATGTAAAGCTTGGCCACAGTGCCGTGCGCATTCTGTCAATGTTTGAATTTAAACCCTTTGTTGGGAACACAATACGGTAGTCGAAAACGCTGCCAATACTATCAAAATATGTCATTGTATCTACACATGAAGCATCATGACTCATCATGATCAAGCATCCAAAGTCTTCAAATAAATGAAAAAAATGATGGCTGCTTTTGAAGGCAAAAACCAACAAAAATCATTGTAAAACACAATAAAAACTGAAACCGGTAGGTTTCAGGGGGGGTTGGCATGTATATACGTATATGTATATATATATGTGATTATCTGTGTGTGTGTGTGCGCGTCTTGTACGGTAAAGGTTTACAATAGCATATCATAATGTACACAGACTGGCAATGGCACAGCGGCATTGCTGAAACAATCCCAAACGATCGCGTCCTTGAGGAAGCGAAATTTGCGGAATAGGCGAAAGAGCCTCATGATGCGAACTACTCTCCTTAGAACACGGTGTGTGGGGGGGGCAAAGCCTGACGTTCTTGAGGGGTATGATTTCACTATAGTTATTTCACTACAGAGGAGCCTAGGTCTACCTCTTCAATATGACCGGCATCTTTCATAATCTTTCAGATTCCTTTCATCAAAATCTGGGGGAATGAAAAGAAACAAAGACCAGCGCTCAACCCAGCAGCAAAACCCGCAAGAGGGCAACCTCATCTAAAGAGATGCCGATGGCACTCAGGAAAAGCTGCAAAAAGCCAGATCCGACAATTACGATATCCAGTGCAAACCATCGATCTTGAAAAACTCGTCGACCACGAAGTATAGTGACGGTCAGCATTTCCACGGAGTAGATGACTAAACATACCGTCGCACAAACCTCTAGCCAGGTGGGTGTGTTTTCACCCGATGCCCTGATATCAATGTCCATCCAGTTGAGTCCGACATCTGCCATGATGATGGCTCCAGTGGAGACATCGTACTTTGTGGACCTCATGATTCTTTCGATGCGGGTCACCCAGCCAGGGTTCTCCTGCTCCTTGGCCAGAAATGACTGAAGCTTTACAAAGTTGGAATGCGGAGTCACTAATCTGGTCATGTCTTCCGAGGAGCGAAGTCCCGCAGGCGCATGGGTAGGGCTTTCTGATGGTTCTGGAGAAGGCTTCGATATTGCTGATGCCTGCCTATCTTGCTTCTTCACCTTCTGTTTCTTCTGTCTTTTGCTTTTGGACTTGCCTTTGGATTTCTGTGAGGCTGTCGAATCCGGTTCACTCAACTCTTCCGGTGCTTCGAATGTCGAGTCTCGCTCCGATTCTGGAAGCGAGTCCGGACCCGGTTCCGGGGACCTCGTGGAGTCAGGCTCCGGTGGATCAGCCTCATCTTCTGGGGGCCCTTTGATCTTTGCAAATGCTGCCGCATTTGGTGGCCAGGTAGCCATCACAGGACATACCTGGAAGTCCACAAAGGTGACATAGCTGCAGCCACTTTAGCCGCTTCAGCTCAGCGCTGTGCTCTGCTATCCTTCAGTAACTGTTGATAACTGTTGTCTATGTAAAAAAAAATGTAGGCTTGATATGGCTTGATGAATTTCACGTTTGAAATCATTTTGCTTAAGCCTATTTAAGCCTGCTCTTGTACACGCTTTCCCCTATTAGATCACCTCAGAACTTGATGAAGAATTGGAGGGGCTATCCAAAGGACAATTTCACCCGTGGACACTTGAGCCTTCCAGATTAAAAGGGAAAGTAGGGAGGCATCGGCTCATGTCGTTCAAATCCAGGCTGTGAAAAACATTGAAAAACCAGCGTGGATTTTTCAAGCATGCACCATCATCACATACAGGGTTCTAGATTCTACACTAGGATCTAGGTTCAGTTTTGTCACTACAGCTTTCCATTTGTTGTCAGAAATTCGATCGGGTGTGCAAAGCGCGAACAAGAAGGAAATGGTGCCTGCACCCGGCGAGAACAAGAGAAAACATATGTTGTATATTGTTGTATTATGTTCATGTGCAACAACCTGAAATGATACAATGCCAACCTTATCGCACAAGTTCTTTCTGTCTCACTGCTTTGGAGATGCTCAGCTAAGATCAAACTCACTCTGCTGCGCATGAGGGAGCCTCTGACACCGTCTTATGCCTCATTGTTCCAGCTTGGAGGAGTCCCACTGATTCAGACACAGCGCATGCTTTGAGCATGCGGAATAGACACCAGATATCACCAGATAAAAACGACAAGCAAATCTGTAAAACAATAATCATCAATAATCTACATTACCATCATTACCTTCTTTATTGGTGGCTTCATGGCAAAATTTTGAGACATTGCGGAGCCATGCGGAGCCATGCTGCACTCCTTGACGGCAAATTTTTTCTTGGTGTTTGGGGTACCAGAATAGTATAGAATAGTTATATAATATATATATATATATAACTATATATATATAATTATGAGATAAGTGTCAGTGCACGGTCTTGTCAAAGGTCTCCTTGTGTGCCCTGTGATGTAGTGCGCAAAGTCAAATGCTCTGGCCAAGACTATCTTGTGATGGCACAGCTGCCGGACGTCTTGTCAAATAGCAGCTATGTGAAGAACTTTGTACTACTGCAGATATCTGCAGATCTGGATAGATCTGGTATGTCTGGAAAATCACCGCCATCTGCCTCGATCATGCCTCAGGCTCAGAAGTCACCAATTGGGCAATCGAGAGTTGAAACTTTAAAAAAAAAAAATGCCATCTGTCACTGACCGGAGCAAATCTCGCCTGCACTGGGGTGAATGTGACGGCAGTGGCTACATGAAGTCCGCTGTGAATCTGCGCCAAAAACAAACGGATTTGGCGGCTTGTTATTGTTTCGCAGTGCAGGCACGAGTCACGTCCTTGATCAGTCAGTCTTTAAACTGGAAGTGACGCAACTAAGCCATTGCCTCAAAGCGTTCTCCCAATATGCCAGCCACTGCTACGACGGGCGCATTTTTTCTTACCTGACATGCTTCGTTCCAGAATGTTCCACACAACAAATGCCTTTTTTTGCTGAATTTCCATGAATTATTGTGTTTTTGGCATGCAGGAAAACAAACGTCGTTTCTCCTCTGCGACATCATCGGCATCAAACAAAGAAACCACTGAGTTCCCAAAACCATTTTTGGAATTATGCTGGGATTATATTTGGTGTGTATGGTCCAATCCTAATTGTTCTTGTATGGCAGGTTCACCAGTCAAAACATGTCCGGCAGCGCTGATTTCAGTTGCAGTGGTGCCAATACCTGCAGCAAGTTAATCTGGGTTGCATATGGTTCCAAGTCAAACCAAGTCACTTAAAAACGGAACAATGCAGGAAACAAAATGATCAAAATGCAGGAAACAAAGGCCCTGAAAAAACTTGAGTCGGACTCCACACTCGGTGCCTTCAGCAATACTTCGCTCTCCAATCCAATCGCCTGAGAGCATCTGCCACGCAAAGTTTAGAACATGTATCATAGACGAGTTCTCTTTCAGGGCATGCTGGTGCATTTCAATTAGCGGAGAAGTGGGATTAAATTTGTTAAAAACGTGGACCCCCCAAAAAAAACAAATAGATCAAGCAACTCCAAAAGCATGCGCGCCCGGCAAGTTGGACTAAAGCATATTTCATAATAATTTTTCATTATGTTCAGTGTCAGTGTCAGCCGTTGACAGCCAAAAATTTCATCCCATGGTTGGTCTAGAAAGTGTTTCGTTTTTGGATGTTTGTCCTCCCCGTTGACATCTGTCAGCTGCATATTGTATTTACATTGATGATGTGCTCGCCAAATCAATGCGGTGATGTTCACAAAGTTTCTTGATTAATGCATTTAATGCTTATTTTTGAGACTTTAAAAGTTAGCTTAAACAAAAATTATACAAATAATTTTATTTATGATTTTTTATTGTCATTTGCATTGCATGCAACATGAATCCACCTGTCAGGTTCCATTTGACGTCAGCCCTGTCAGGTATCACCATTTCCTTTCTGCCGCCCACTTGCGGCCCAATATCCAATGCAGGTGGGTGGGAATCTGACCGCGCCATAGCTGCTACGAAAACAGTGCCGAGACTTCGTGTGCCTGCACTTGTGCCTTGGAAACTTCGTGGGTTCCAACGAAGCTACATTGGTAGCGGAGCCGAGATTGCTCGGCCTGCTGCTGCTGCGCACTCCAACTTAACCAATAACCCTTACAACCTCACCTTCAACCTTGTGATTTCCTTCTACAACTTTCTGGACAAGATCTATCGAGCTTTGCACTTTGCCAGTCCTACATCTTTGAATTTGTCAAGGACATCGGGCTCTGGCTTGGCAGTGCTTCTCTTCTACCTGGACCTTAGCAGTGCTTCTCTTCTACTTGGCCCTGAGCAGTGCTTCTCTTCTACCTGAACTTCCCTGAAGAGAGCTATGTCAGCGGGCGCAACGACTTCGAGCGCAAGTGGAACTGCCCTGGACCAGCAGAGCACTCGCGACAGCTACATCCCTGTCTTTGATGGCACTCCAGCGAACTACAAGGAATGGCGAAAACGAATCATCATCTATGCCAAGAAGATGGAACTGATGAACAGAAAGGGCGAGTGCGTGCTGAACTTGCTTGGTTCTTTGCAAGGAACAGCATGGAAACTTGTCGAGGACTTTGGCTTGGAGTCCGTGAGCGGCGACACCGCCTTGAAGGACATTTTGGCCCTGTTGGATGCAGCTTTCCAGTATGACAGCAAGGTGGAGATGCCTTTGCCGCATACTTCGAAAGCCAAGGACGTCGCAGTGGTCAGAGCCTCCTTCAGTTCATCACCGACCATGATGATCGACTTCGCCGAGCAGAAAAGCATGGAGTCAAGCTTCCAGCAGAAGTTCAAGGATGGCACTTGTTGGCAAAATCCAACATTTCCAAGGAGCAGAAGCAGATGGTGATGACTCAAGCCAACTCCTTAGAGCGTACAAAGATTCAGCAAGCTTTGTACTCCATCCTTGGCCAGGACTACAATAAGCACAGCCATGTTCCAAACCCCAGCCGATGGTCTTCCTCATCACGCCCTTCTGGAAAAGGTCGTGGATACTATGTGGATGAGGACAACAACGCCTATGAAGATGATGCTTGGGGCTACATGGCTGAAGATGACGACCTTGCCTACTATGAGTACGATGATGGTGCTTGGGAAGATGATGGCAACTACGATGAGTTTGACTGCGACGCTGTCTACTACCAGGAAACTGCAGATGATCCAATCATGGATGACTATGGCTATGACCCTGACGAGTACGATGAGTGTTTTGCAAGCTATGTGGATGCTCGACGAAGGTTCAACGAACTTCGCATGTCGAGAGGCTTCTTGCCTGTCGTTGCACTCGACCCCAATGCCTCCGGCTCCAACCAGCAGCCCATCAACAACAAGGGCAAAGGAAAGAAGGGTCGTGGAAAAGGGCGTGGAGGAAAGAGCAACGTGAAGTACTCCAAGCCGCCAATGAAGCCTCACGATCTCAAAGGTCGAGCACAAGCTGCACTTCGATGTCTTCGATGCGGGTCAACAAGCCATACGACAGCGCAATGCACCCAAGGATCCAAGCCAACTCAAAAGCTACTCCAACTGGTCCCAACAAGCGACAAGCCACTGAAGGAGTTGCTTCGAACAACATCTTCGACCCTGAGAGCGGCATGGTGATGTTCGAGGACCAATCTGGAGCTCAAAGGCCAGATTGCGCGATGATGAATCCTGGTGCCTCTTCTTTTTTGATGGGCTATGGTCCTTTTTGCAGATACTTGGACCACCTCAAGAAGCTTAACTTCCCTGTGCACGAGATCACCCTCAAGAAGGCCAACAGGAACTTCCATTTGGAGGTGATCATCAAGCAGTTAGCTCTTGGACAGTGCACCTGCCCATCTTCGTGAACCACCAATTTGGATTGGTCCAAGCGTTCCTCTTGAAAGGAGACACACCAATGCTGCTTGGACGACCAATCACAAAAGCTCTTGGCATGTCCCTGGACTTCCTCAACGATCGCATCAAGTTCAACGATGGTGAGTGGCGTAACGCAACTCTTGGACGACACAGTGAATACCTGCTGCCACTCACTGAGGACTTTGACCCGGCGATCATCTCCAATGGTGCTGCCTTTGAACTGGTGCTTGAAGATGAGGACGGCCCCAACTTCACCCTTGAGCACTTCCAGACTTCTGAGAATGTGTACATGGCCGACGAGCACACAGCACCTGAGGGATCACTTCTCATCAAAGGCAAGATGCTGAAATCCATCGACAACTCTGTGCTGACACGCTTGAAGGCGGCAGAGGCCTACATTGCCCAAACTCTTCATGACATGGAAGAGAGACGACCTCGAAAACTATGGGAAGTTTACTGTGGGCATGGCCGAACTTCTGAGATTGCGACTTCCTTTGGCATGGAGACCCAGCGATTTGGATTTGAAACTGGATGGAACTTTTCACTGCGATCTCATCAACGAGCTTTCATGGACTTGCTCGATGAGGAACTACCAGATGAAGTTCTACTTGCACCATCCTGTTCGCCTTGGTCTCCCATGCAGAATGCCAACATGCAGGATGAGCGCAAATGCCAACAGTTGCAACAACTTCGAGAATGGCATCACAGAGTTCACCTGCGATTTTGCAGGAGGATTTACTTGAAGCAGCTTGGAGAAGGACGACATGCTCATCTTGAACAACCAACTCCAGCTCTTTCTTGGAAGACGAGCTAACTACGAGATCTTCCTGGACATCGAGCACGATTCCATCAATGCCAATATGGATGTGTCTGCATGACTGATGAAGGCTCATGGATGCCTGTGTGCAAGGACACCACCATCTTGACTTCGAAAGCTGCGGTGGCACAGGCCATGAACCGCCTTTGTCCAGGAGATCATCAACACTGCCGACTTGAAGGCCATCTGAAAGTTTTCAACACTCTGAAGACCACCTTCATGCAGGACTACCAGCCTGCCATGGCCGCCGCATTGGCTGCTGCAATTGCGTCTCCGGAAGTACCTCACCCTTGGGACTTTGGATTTGCAGTCCAAGAGGTGAAGGAGCATGTCGGCAAGATGATCGACCTTCATGTGGAGGGCAAGGCCGAAGCCTTGCGAGTTGTTCAGAAACTCCACAGGAACCTTGGACATTCTTCCACGAAGTCCTTGGTCGAGCTTCTTCAAAGCCGCAATGCCAGTGAAACTTTGATCCAAGTTGCTGGAACCTACGTTTGTGCCGCCTGTCAAAGGTATCGCAAACCAAATCAGCCAGCACCTTCAAGCATCAACACTGCGGAGAACGTCAACCAGAAGGTTCAATCAGATGTCTTTTGGATCAAAGAGGGTGGTGTGAAATATCCAATCCTCTCCAACATCGACATGGCCACCAAGTATCAGACCGCCACATTGCTGCACAAAGAGAAGACTGGCGACCTGATCACTGGATTTGAACGGTCTTGGATTGCCCATTTTGGGCCACCAGCCAAACTTCTTACAGATGAAGGCAGAGGATGGGTCAGTGACCAGATGGCTGAATGGACTGACTCTTCGTCCATAAACCATGAAGTTGCCCCTGGTGAAGCCCACACACGAATGAGCTTGGTTGAGAGGCGACATGCAGTGCTGAGGAAAGCCATTGAGGTGTACATTTTTGACTTGGACTTGCATGGCCCCGATGGACTTCGAACGGCCTTGACGTACATCCTCCCTCAGCTGAATGCTCAACCAACTGTGGCTGGCTACAGCCCATCTCAGTGGCTTCTTGGGTATCAGCCATCGATTGGGAACCTCCTGACCTCTGACCAGATCACTCCAGTTCATCTTGCTGGTGGATCCTCTTTTGAAGAAGCTCTGCAACGAAGAAACATGGCCAAAACTGCAATCCTCCAAGCAGACACTGACCAGAAGCTACGGCGTGCACTACTTCGCCGATATGCTGGCGACAACATCAAGCTGTCAGTGGGCCAGACTTGCTACTTTTGGCGAGATGCTCAACAGAGCGACTTGGTCAAGATACGTTGGAAGGGCCCAGCCAGAAGTTTTGATGGTCGAATGTGATGGAGATGGCAAACCAACATGCTACTGGATTTGCTACAAGACCCAACTCATACGATGTGCACCTCATCACTGCAGACCAGACTTCCATGCTTTGGCCACCAACGTCATCGACAACTTGGAGGAAGCAAAGAATGTGATCAGACAGATCAAGTCACGTGGAGTCACTCGGTACCTGGACTTGAACCGTGTGAACAAGCAGCTCATCGACGATGTGGAGGAGGACGAAGAAATGATGTCAGACAGCTCCAACCCTGAGCAGATCTCCAAAAGAAGACGTCTGGCGATGTCTCCAGCACCTTCGGTGAGCTATGAACCATCGCTTGCCGATGATGAAGTTCCAATTCCTCCTGAACAAGATGATGCTGCCAACAACGACTTGATCCACAACAACGGTGCAGACCT